ACTCCTGAGTTCCGTAATGTCCCCCTAACATGACACTTAGACTATTTACATCATCTAAGGAAGCACACCAGTAAATCTTCCTTATAGTTAATAAAGTAATTAAACAATAAAAAAGACAATACCTTGGGGTCATTCAGATCTTTAAATTATTATTACCCTCTCAAAGAGACTTCGTTGTAGTTAATAAAGTAATTAAACATTAGTTCACAAGCCATACATCTTAAGAGAACATCCATAGTTAACACAAATCATATTAAAAAACTAATCAAATTTTTTAGGTGACTTAATGAATGATAATTAACGGCTGATAGCAAAATCAGGAGGTGACAGGCAGGGGGGAGGGGAGGGGTGGGAGGGGGTGTGAGGGGAGACAGTCTCACACATCCAGACTCCATTTTTCATGAAGAGCCTCAGACGGAGGGTCTGAACCCGGCACAGATACTGCATCCGTTTCTTGACTGGCGCTCCCGACGGATGGCGGTAAGTTGTCACAGGCGTCTCGCTGATTAAACCCCTATCGATGCGTCTCTTTGCCATTTTCTTTTTTGAAAGTTTAGGTGACTTGGTGAGTGGAAATGACTGGCTTTTTATATAGTTTGCACGGATTTCTTTTTTTTACCTAACTCCACCCCTCACTATCTTCTGACATCACAGCTAAAGGAAGGGGGGTGACAGAAGAGGTGAGAGGGGGACGGGGTGGGAGGAGGACGGGGTGGGAGGAGGACGGGGTGCGAGACAGTCTCACACAACTTCAAAGAGACTGTCTTAATACTAGTTACAAACACTGATCAAAGGACATACATCAAAGGGCTAATTAGATTGACATCAAAGGGCTAATTAGATTGACATCAAAGGCTTATAACACACCGGTGCGATATCACACCGACATGTTACAACACCTCACCCCCTTACATCAAAGGACAGACATCAAAGGGCTAATTAGATTAGACAACAATCGGCAAACATCAAAGGCTAATTAGATTAGACAACAAAGGATCTACTACAAGGGGGAATATCACACCTACATGTTACAACACCTCACCCCCTTACATCAAAGGACAGACATCAAAGGGGTAATTAGATTAGACAACAAAGGGCAGACATCAAAGGCTAATTAGATTAGACAACAAAGGATCTACTACAAGGGGGAATATCACACCTACAAGTTACAACACCTCACCCCTCACATCAAAGGATATCACACCTATCTGTGATATCACACCTACACGTGATAACACCTCGAACAAAGGGGCTCATTAGCATATCAAAGGGGCTCATTAGCATAATTAGTGGGGGATGTGACCTGTCACTTTTTATGCATACTAATGTGATGGAAGTGGTATTTGTATAACTACTTTCCTGCAACTGAGACATTACCTTCAGAAGCATAGGGAATGGGAAAACATTCGCAAAGCCCCATCTAAACTAGAGGAACTGTTAATGACATATACAGAGGACGAGACAAAAAAAGGGGCTATATCAAAACTTTACAAGGTACTACATTATGAATGTAACGGCAACAATAAGGATGTCAAAGAAAAATGGGAGTTGGAAGCGAATATTATAATATGCGACGAGGATTGGGAAGAAACATTCAAGGTGGGATATTTCAATAACAAACAGTCCAACATGGAGGGAATTTGAGATATTTTACGACCCCATCTATCACTTCAACATATAGCAATACCTCTAATTTGTGCTAGAGGAGCTGTGGACCTCACACATATATGTTGGGACGGTCCATTACATTACATTACATTGCATTGCATGTCACTTGTTAGACGCTTTTATCCAAAGCGACTTACATACTCAATACTGTGGACAATCCCCACAGGAGCACTTTGGGGTGAAGTGTCTCAGGGACACAATGACATGCTGACTGCAGTGGGGTTTGAACCTGTGACCCCCTGATCCCAACACCAAGGCTCTATCCACTGCGCCACACGCCTCCCTGTCCAAACATTCAGGGCTTCTGGAAGGATTTTCAAAAGGAGATTAAACGGGTGCTGGGCATTACCTTTACTTTGGACCCAGCACTTTATATACTGGGTATACTGCCCAGTGAGATCACTTTATATACTGGGTATACTGCCCAGTGAGATCACTTTATATACTGGGTATACTGCCCTGTGAGATCACTTTATATACTGGGTATACTGCCCAGTGAGATCACTTTATATACTGGGTATACTGCCCAGTGAGATCACTTTATATACTGAGTATACTGCTCTGTGAGATCACTTTATATACTGAGTATACTGCTCTGTGAGATCACTTTATATACTGAGTATACTGCTCTGTGAGATCACTTTATATACTGAGTATACTGCCCAGTGAGATCACTTTATATACTGAGTATACTGCTCTGTGAGATCACTTTATATACTGGGTATACTGCCCTGTGAGATCACTTTATATACTGGGTATACTGCTCTGTGAGATCACTTTATATACTGGGTATACTGCCCTGTGAGATCACTTTATATACTGAGTATACTGCCCTGTGAGATCACTTTATATACTGGGTATACTGCCCTGTGAAATCACTTTATATACTGGGTATACTGCCCTGTGAAATCACTTTATATACTGGGTATACTGCCCTGTGAAATCACTTTATATACTGGGTATACTGCCCTGTGAGATCACTTTATATACTGGGTATACTGCCCTGTGAAATCACTTTATATACTGGGTATACTGCCCTGTGAAATCACTTTATATACTGGGTATACTGCCCTGTGAAATCACTTTATATACTGGGTATACTGCCCAGTGAGATCACTTTATATACTGGGTATACTGCCCAGTGAGATGGACAGAAATGTAGCTTTCTTACTAAGAATTCTTCTTCTAATTGCGAAAAAATGTATAACGGTCTCGTGGCTGAAGCCGCAGCTCCCCAATTTAGTCCACTGGAAAAACAGGGTAAAAAATGTTTATTTAATGGAGAAAATCACAGCAAGACTACATTACAAAGACTACGGCTGAAAACTGACAAATTCGAAGAAAAATGGTCCCCATTAATACAAGCAGCACCTCTTACTTATTTATTTTTATTTATTTATTTTTCATGTATTTGTATTCACTGCACTTGTACTTGTTTCATCTGGATGGTAAAGCACTGGCTCTTACTATCATAATGGTTCAGGTATTGTGCGATCATGTTTCCGATGAGGGGGAGTGATAATGTCTGTCATATGTTGATAATGTTTGCACAATATAGAAATGGATAACATTAAGAAACTGTATGTCCTTTTGGTGCCAAGGAGGGCATGAATGATTAATCCTGGTGTACAACAGCTGAAGTTATGTAAGCATCTCCATGTATGTTCTATTGATGTTATGTATGAAAAAAAGTTAAAAAGAAAAAATCACAATCAATCAGATCAACTACAGAGCATTTATACAGAGTACACACACTGAAACAGAGAAGTCTAAAAACAGAATGTTACTCACACAATTCTAGAAGTCACCAGTTGTTATCCTGTCAAAATCGAGTTGCACAAAATCTCAACATTTTGAATTTTTTCCTGAAAATCTGAAATATCTTGGACTTTGCTGAACATTTTCTACAATAATAATAAATGTTATTTATATAGAGCTCAAAGTCACTTTACAAGCAAACAAGCAAAGATGTGAAGTGCTTTGTGACTTTTACCGACCTGAACAAAAACATAAAGAAGAACCTGTCCCACCTGAAAGAAAGGTCTTTCAACATCTCAAAATCTGTTGGTTTTCTTTTACACATTTTTGGACTTTTTTCCAGAAAATCTCAAAATTCAGATTCTTTTCAAAAAGGTCAAAATTCTAACTTTTTTCTGAGAATCTCACATGTTTTATTTTTTCAAAAATGTTCAATATTTTGACTTTTTCTCAAAATTTCAATATTTTCTCAAATAAATCCTAAATAAATTATATTTTGACCTCCAGCGCCCATACCTGTAGTTTTGTGAAGGAGCCTGGGTGAAGGGCTCCTGACGGGGAGCCAGGTGATGCCTCAGATAATGGGCTTGAGTTCTGAAAGACTTTAGTTGTGCATCATCATTGTTGCTGTGGAGCTCACATCCACCTCAGGGCTCTTTCTGCCTTCAAGGGGCTCTGTAGCAAACTGTGGCTCCCTCTGCTGGAGGACTGTGGGTCTGCGGGTGAGAGAGGAGAGAGGACTGCATGGGAGAGAGACATCGCTCTGTGGTGTTATCTGCTGTCTGTGGGGTTTAGGGTAAGATGAGTGGGGAGGGGGAGTAGGGGGGAGTAGGAGGGAGAAGAGGGAGAGGGGAGGGAGGAGAGGGTGAGGAGGGTTAGGGTTAACCTGTTAAGCCCCAAGCCTGTTTTTCAGGCCTCAGGCTCGAAAATGACATTCCCAGAACAAATGAACATAACTTCCCTTCGAAAAGGGGTAAATTAATAATCTTTTTTCTCAAAGTAATGATAAACCTGTGAGTTGGATGTAGAAAAGTCAGAATCTATATAGAATTGTTTTATTGTAAAGTAAATTCAGATTGAACATAGTAAAAAAATGTAAATTATAGTGTCCGTCCAAAAAACCCCACATTACTTATAGTGAAAACCATCCATGAATGATGGGATCGGAGACTAAAAGCTTTAGGAATCCAAACTATAACATTTAATAAGTAACCTGTATCAACATTGATGCAAAACAAGTGAAGTGTGACCTTTTTAGAGCAAATAAAACCCCACCTTTGGGGTCATTTGGGTGCATTTGCCATTTCTCTGGAATCCATTGGTCGATTTTGGTGACCTCTTTTGAACCGTTAGAGCCAATAGAATCGAAGGGGAAGTTCCACATACACACATGTTACCATTGAGGAGTGAGAGATACGCGCAGGCAGTCGAAAGCAATGTTATGCTCTGAAAACTGAAAACTGAAACCTCGGCTCAAACTAGTAAATATGAAGATGGATTATCAGTGATCATTTCAAAGTGACACAGACACATTGGATTAACCATTGGATTAACCTTCAGCAGCGTTTTTATCGTTTTGATGCCATTGAACACGACTTTTGATCAGAACAACAGCTAAGGTGAGAATAAATAAAAACATCCTCCCCTCGGTCATGAACCTTGGAGTGACCTTCACTAGCACTTTTAAATTCGACAAGCAGATCAGCACTGGAGTCAAATCCTGCTTTTTTTAAATAAGACTATTGGCCAAAACCAAGTCGTATTTATCTTTTAATGACTTAGAAAGGGTTATTAACGCCTTTGTAACCTCAAGACTGGACTATTGCAACGCTCTGTATGTGGGTATGGACCAGGCCTCAATTAAACGCCTGCAGCTAGTCCAAAACGCTGCTGCACGTTTGCTGACTGGCCACAAAAAGCGTGACCACATCACCCCTATTCTGGCCTCACTGCACTGGCTTCCAGTTCGGTTCAGAATTGATTTTAAAATCCTTTTATTTGTTTTTAAAGCACTAAATGGGCTGGCTCCGGCCTATATAGCTGAACTGCTCCAGCGCTACACCCCAGCCAGAGCTTTAAGGTCTGCTGACCAGCTGCTGCTGGTAGTGCCCAAGACCAGGCTCAAAACCAGAGGGCACCGAGCCTTCTCAGCAGCTGGCCCTAGGCTCTGGAACACTCTGCCCCTCCATGTGAGGTCGGCCCAGACCCTAGGGGTTTTTAAATCTACACTAAAAACACACTTCTTCTCTCTGGCCTTCTAGTCAGAGCGGAGCACGACTCCTGACTTTTCCTTGTGTTTTTTTTAAAATATATATCTGTTGTAATTTATTGTCTTTTATTGTGATTGTAGTAATGTGTTTTTATTACATGTACAGCACTTTGGCTCGACCAAAAATCGCTTTTAAATGTGCTTTATAAATAAAACTTGATTTGATTTGATTTGAAGAAGCTTCCTCCGTGAAGCTACGTGTTGTGATGTCTGTTTTCGCTTCCCCTGTCGCGAGTTTGCATCACTCAGTGATGACACTAATATTTCTGGAATCTGTGGAATCTCAGTTTGCTAATCGATATCTTGTTTGTGCAGATACGATAAGTAATAAGGGTATTTAAGCTGAGAGTTAGCATTTTTTCGCTCAGGGCTCATTTAGACGCTTCTTGTGAGACTTGTGTTTTGTTTCGGTAAAAATGGTTCGTGTCGTCAGATAGCTGAGTTTCTTCCCGTTAAGTGGGTATGGAACATTATTAGTTTCATAAATGTTAAGAAGCCCTAAGTCACAGTTTCGTGAAAAGAACAGGTTAAGAGTCCAGAGGGGAGAGAAGGGATGGGGGGGGGGGGGCTCCTCTGTTCGGGGGCCTCTGGTCAGGAGGGCCCTCAAGGTGAAAGGGAGGAGGCCCTGAATCTCCCCCGTACCTCACCCACTGGACAGCCCTGTCTAAAGGGAGGAGGCCCTGAGTCTCCCCCGTACCTCACCCACTGGACAGCCCTGTCTAAAGGGAGGAGGCCCTGAGTCTCCCCCGTACCTCACCCACTGGACAGCCCTGTCTAAAGGGAGGAGGCCCTGAGTCTCCCCCGTACCTCACCCACTGGACAGCCCTGTCTAAAGGGAGGAGGCCCTGAGTCTCCCCCGTACCTCACCCACTGGACAGCCCTGTCTAAAGGGAGGAGGCCCTGAGTCTCCCCCGTACCTCACCCACTGGGGGAGACTCTCCACAGCAATGATCAAGTGCTAATGTTTTCTTGATCCTGTTGATCCAAGTGTTTGGGATGTTTTGTTCGTTCTGAATGTTGGCGGCAGAGGGTTGAATGGAGGAAGTGGGGTGCAGACGGTTGAATGGAGGAAGTGGGGTGCAGACGGTTGAATGGAGGAAGTGGGGTGCAGACGGTTGAATGGAGGAAGTGGGGTGCAGACGGTTGAATGGAGGAAGTGGGGTGCAGAGGGTTGAATGGAGGAAGTGGGGTGCAGACGGTTGAATGGAGGAAGTGGGGTGCAGAGGGTTGAATGGAGGAAGTGGGGTGCAGACGGTTGAATGGAGGAAGTGGGTGCCTCATCTTCCCCTGTGGAAATGAGCCAGCAGTGAATGTGTTGGTAAGTGTTTCTGAGTGTGGATGGATTAGGGTTAAGGTTACCATATGTTCAGATGGAATGGATTAGGGTTAAGGTTACCATATGTTCAGATGGAATGGATTAGGGTTAAGGTTACCATATGTTCAGATGGTATGGATTAGGGTTAGGGTTACCATATGTTCAGATGGAATGGATTAGGGTTAAGGTTACCATATGTTCAGATGGAATGGATTAGGGTTAGGGTTACCATATGTTCAGATGGTATGGATTAGGGTTAGGGTTACGATATGTTCAGATGGAATGGGAATTGGCCTAATTCAGCTCTGCAGGCATTGTTTGTGTTTTTTCTGAGCAGCTTTAAGATGCTTTTTAAGCATTGAAGATGCATCATTTCAACTGGGGGTCTGTCTAATTGGGCCACATGGTGTTTGGAGAGAGGACCCCACACCTCACTACTAGAGAGAATAACTGCTTCTATGACAGATTCCAGTGATCATTTCAAAGCGACACAGACACATTGGATTAACCATTGGATTAACCTTCAGCAGTGTTTTTATCGTTTTTAATGCCATTGAAAACGACTTTTGATCAGAACAACAGCTAAGGTGAGACAATGTCCCGTGTTTGCTCCGTAAAGCTACGTGTTGTGATGTATGTGTTTGCTTCCCCTGTCGCGAGTTCTGATCGCTCAGTGATGAGACTTATATTTCTGGAATCTGTGGAATCTCACGATGCCAATTGCTATCTTGTGTGTGCAGTTACAATAAGTAATAAGGGTATTTTTACCGTCAGTTCTGTGCTAAGTGTGTTAGCATTTTTTGGCTCAGGGCTCAATTAGACGCTTCTTGTGAGACTTGTGTTTTGTTTTGGTAAAAATGGTTCGTATCGTCAGTTAGCTGAGTTTCTTCCCGTTAAGTGAGTATGACACATTAATAGTTTTTTAAATATTAAGAAGCCCTGAGACACAGTTTCGTGAAAAAACACCCCGCAGGCCCCGGATTAGGTGCCTCTCCGGCTTAACAGGTGAGTTTTAATGGTGTCTTTGTGACAGGAAGAGAGCCTGACTTCCTGTCTCTCATCAACATATACTGATAAGTACACAGAGTGAGGAGACATCATGGAGCACCTGCTGCTGCTGCTGCTACTGCTGAGCGCAGGTAACATCTTTATTACACTATTTATTATTATCTTTATTCTAGATATTAAATATTCTTACATCATCAAACAAGTCATTGCCTCAAAGATTTGCGATAAAACTACTAAAACTACAAAAACTACTAACGGTAAAACAAAATGAAGCTAAAATAAAGATATGTATATCAACCTGAGAAGTTCCTCCTTAATTATTTAATAATATTATTTGTATTTAGAGGTTTCCAGAAACAGCCCACCCTTTCAGAGATAGTGATGAAGCAACCAGAGGCTTTATACAGATAGGAGCATGTAGTCATGGTGACAGGAAACCATGACCTTCCATCAGTCCCCAAAATAAACTCCTCAGAAACGCTCTTCAGTCACAAGTCTAGACTCCTCTCTCAGATTGTCACCATGACTGCAGTTTTCATCAGATCACATATTAATAGTTCAGTCACACACCTCACGTGATCTTATGTTTATTAGAAGCTAGGCTCGGCCTCATCACTCTGCAGATTTACACAGAACACTGAGGGATGATCAGATACCCCCCCCCCCCTCGAGCCTACAGGTGGATGCTGGGGTGGGGCATGAACACTATTGAAATTCTGATTAAGCCATGTGAATATGCCTAACTGGGTAGAATCACCAAATTGTGGTGCTGTAAAATACTGAGAAAATGACGCTCAGTCACTTAACGGTTAGATATTGAAATTCTGACTCCATAGATGTGTCTCCCATCACCTAAAACCCCTGACTATTCTCTCAACTCAGTATTTACATTCTTATATTCAAAGAAAATCAATAATATCCTTAAAAACTACAACTCCCTTTCTATCAGCTGTGCACCGTGATGCAAAACGATATGCAAAGAGGTGTTGTGATAAGGGTTTTAAAAAGCCTATCTACCGATTCGATCAAATATAGAGACGTATTGTGTGAAGAGAAATTGAAAATGTTGTTTAATTGCTGATATATTTATGATCCACGTCACGTATTCAGTTTCGTGGCAGTTCTTCCAGTTTGTCCAGACATGGACACTGGTCATTAGAAATGAATAGGAACAATAATTATATCCTTGTCACGTTTTGAGAGGGTTATTTGTGAATATAGTATGTCTTGCCCTGTGGACCAACGTAGCTATTACATGTATTATTGTAATCTCAATCTGCTGCATCGTGTCTCAATCTGCTGCATCGTGTCTCAATCTGCTGCATCACGTCTCAATCTGCTGCATCATGTCTCAATCTGCTGCTTCATGTCTCAATCTGCTGCATCACGTCTCAATCTGCTGCATCATGTCTCAATCTGCTGCATCATGTCTCAATCTGCTGCATCATGTCTCAATCTGCTGCATGTCTCAATCTGCTGCATCATGTCTCAATCTGCTGCATCATGTCTCAATCTGCATCATGTCTCAATCTGCTGCATCATGTCTCAATCTGCATCATGTCTCAATCTGCTGCATCATGTCTCAATCTGCATCATGTCTCAATCTGCTGCATCATGTCTCAATCTGCATCATGTCTCAATCTGCTTCATGTCTCAATCTGCATCATGTCTCAATCTGCATCATGTCTCAATCTGCTGCATCATGTCTCAATCTGCATCATGTCTCAATCTGCTGCATCATGTCTCAATCTGCTGCATGTCTCAATCTGCTGCATCATGTCTCAATCTGCTGCATCATGTCTCAATCTGCTGCATCATGTCTCAATCTGCTGCATCATGTCTCAATCTGCTGCATCATGTCTCAATCTGCTGCATGTCTCAATCTGCTGCATCATGTCTCAATCTGCTGCATGTCTCAATCTGCTTCATGTCTCAATCTGCATCATGTCTCAATCTGCTGCATCATGTCTCAATCTGCTGCATCATGTCTCAATCTGCTGCATGTCTCAATCTGCATCATGTCTCAATCTGCTTCATGTCTCAATCTGCATCATGTCTCAATCTGCATCATGTCTCAATCTGCTGCATCATGTCTCAATCTGCATCATGTCTCAATCTGCTGCATCATGTCTCAATCTGCATCATGTCTCAATCTGCTGCATCATGTCTCAATCTGCATCATGTCTCAATCTGCTGCATGTCTCAATCTGCTTATTGTCTCAATCTGCATCATGTCTCAATCTGCTGCATCATGTCTCAATCTGCTGCATCATGTCTCAATCTGCTGCATCATGTCTCAATCTGCATCATGTCTCAATCTGCTGCATCATGTCTCAATCTGCTGCATGTCTCAATCTGCTGCATCATGTCTCAATCTGCTGCATCATGTCTCAATCTGCATCATGTCTCAATCTGCATCATGTCTCAATCTGCATCATGTCTCAATCTGCTGCATCATGTCTCAATCTGCTGCATCATGTCTCAATCTGCTGCATGTCTCAATCTGCTGCATGTCTCAATCTGCTTCATGTCTCAATCTGCATCATGTCTCAATCTGCTGCATCATGTCTCAATCTGCTGCATCATGTCTCAATCTGCTGCATCATGTCTCAATCTGCATCATGTCTCAATCTGCTGCATGTCTCAATCTGCATCATGTCTCAATCTGCTTCATGTCTCAATCTGCATCATGTCTCAATCTGCATCATGTCTCAATCTGCTGCATCATGTCTCAATCTGCTGCATGTCTCAATCTGCTGCATCATGTCTCAATCTGCTTCATGTCTCAATCTGCTGCATCATGTCTCAATCTGCTGCATCATGTCTCAATCTGCATCATGTCTCAATCTGCTGCATGTCTCAATCTGCTGCATCATGTCTCAATCTGCTGCATCATGTCTCAATCTGCTGCATGTCTCAATCTGCTGCATGTCTCAATCTGCATCATGTCTCAATCTGCTGCATGTCTCAATCTGCTGCATGTCTCAATCTGCATCATGTCTCAATCTGCTGCATGTCTCAATCTGCTGCATCATGTCTCAATCTGCTTCATGTCTCAATCTGCTGCATCATGTCTCAATCTGCTGCATCATGTCTCAATCTGCATTCATGTCTCCATCGCTGCATCATGTCTCAATCTGCTGCATCATGTCTCAATCTGCATCATGTCTCAATCTGCTGCATGTCTCAATCTGCATCATGTCTCAATCTGCTGCATGTCTCAATCTGCTGCATCATGTCTCAATCTGCTGCATGTCTCAATCTGCATCATGTCTCAATCTGCTGCATGTCTCAATCTGCATCATGTCTCAATCTGCATCATGTCTCAATCTGCTGCATGTCTCAATCTGCTGCATCATGTCTCAATCTGCTGCATCATGTCTCAATCTGCTGCATGTCTCAATCTGCTGCATGTCTCAATCTGCATCATGTCTCAATCTGCTGCATGTCTCAATCTGCTGCATCATGTCTCAATCTGCTTCATGTCTCAATCTGCTGCATCATGTCTCAATCTGCTTCATGTCTCAATCTGCTGCATCATGTCTCAATCTGCTTCATGTCTCAATCTGCTGCATGTCTCAATCTGCATCATGTCTCAATCTGCTGCATCATGTCTCAATCTGCATCATGTCTCAATCTGCTTCATGTCTCAATCTGCATCATGTCTCAATCTGCTGCATCATGTCTCAATCTGCTGCATCATGTCTCAATCTGCTGCATCATGTCTCAATCTGCTGCATCGTGTCTCAATCTGCTTCATGTCTCAATCTGCTGCATCATGTCTCAATCTGCTTCATGTCTCAATCTGCTGCATCATGTCTCAATCTGCTGCATGTCTCAATCTGCATCATGTCTCAATCTGCTGCATGTCTCAATCTGCTGCATCATGTCTCAATCTGCTGCATGTCTCAATCTGCATCACGTCTCAATCTGCATCACGTCTCAATCTGCATCATGTCTCAATCTGCATCACGTCTCAATCTGCATCACGTCTCAATCTGCATCACGTCTCAATCTGCATCACGTCTCAATCTGCTGCATCACGTCTCAATCTGCATCATGTCTCAATCTGCATCACGTCTCAATCTGCATCATGTCTCAATCTGCATCATGTCTCAATCTGCATCACGTCTCAATCTGCATCATGTCTCAATCTGCATCATGTCTCAATCTGCATCATGTCTCAATCTGCTGCATCATGTCTCAATCTGCTGCATCATGTCTCAATCTGCTGCATCATGTCTCAATCTGCTGCATCATGTCTCAATCTGCTGCATCATGTCTCAATCTGCATCATGTCTCAATCTGCTGCATCATGTCTCAATCTGCTGCATCATGTCTCAATCTGCATCATGTCTCAATCTGCTGCATCATGTCTCAATCTGCTGCATCATGTCTCAATCTGCTGCACCATGTCTCAATCTGCATCACGTCTCAATCTGCATCACGTCTCAATCTGCTGCATGTCTCAATCTGCTGCATCATGTCTCAATCTGCTGCATCATGTCTCAATCTGCTGCATCATGTCTCAATCTGCTGCATCATGTCTCAATCTGCATCACGTCTCAATCTGCATCACGTCTCAATCTGCTGCATGTCTCAATCTGCTGCATCACGTCTCAATCTGCTGCATCACGTCTCAATCTGCTGCATCACGTCTCAATCTGCTGCATCACGTCTCAATCTGCTGCATCATGTCTCAATCTGCATCACGTCTCAATCTGCATCACGTCTCAATCTGCTGCATGTCTCAATCTGCTGCATCATGTCTCAATCTGCTGCATCATGTCTCAATCTGCTGCATCATGTCTCAATCTGCATCACGTCTCAATCTGCATCACGTCTCAATCTGCTGCATGTCTCAATCTGCTGCATCACGTCTCAATCTGCTGCATCACGTCTCAATCTGCTGCATCACGTCTCAATCTGCTGCATCACGTCTCAATCTGCTGCATCACGTCTCATCTGCTGCATCACGTCTCAATCTGCGGCATCACGTCTCAATCTGCGGCATCACGTCTCAATCTGCTGCATCACGTCTCAATCTGCTGCATCACGTCTCAATCTGCTGCATCACGTCTCAATCTGCTGCTTCACGTCTCAATCTGCGGCATCACGTCTCAATCTGCTGCATCACGTCTCAATCTGCTGCATCACGTCTCAATCTGCTGCATCATGTCTCAATCTGCTGCATCACGTCTCAATCTGCTGCATCACGTCTCAATCTGCTGCATCACGTCTCAATCTGCTGCTTCACGTCTCAATCTGCGGCATCACGTCTCAATCTGCTGCTTCGTGTCTCAATCTGCTGCATCATGTCTCAATCTGCTGCATCGTGTCTCAATCTGCATCATGTCTCAATCTGCTTCATGTCTCAATCTGCTGCATCATGTCTCAATCTGCATCATGTCTCAATCTGCTTCATGTCTCAATCTGCTGCATCATGTCTCAATCTGCTTCATGTCTCAATCTGCATCATGTCTCAATCTGCTGCATCATGTCTCAATCTGCTGCATGTCTCAATCTGCTGCATCATGTCTCAATCTGCATCATGTCTCAATCTGCTTCATGTCTCAATCTGCTGCATCATGTCTCAATCTGCTTCATGTCTCAATCTGCTGCATCATGTCTCAATCTGCATCATGTCTCAATCTGCATCATGTCTCAATCTGCTTCATGTCTCAATCTGCTGCATCATGTCTCAATCTGCATCATGTCTCAATCTGCTTCATGTCTCAATCTGCTGCATCATGTCTCAATCTGCTGCATGTCTCAATCTGCTGCATCATGTCTCAATCTGCTGCATGTCTCAATCTGCTGCATCATGTCTCAATCTGCATCATGTCTCAATCTGCTGCATCATGTCTCAATCTGCTGCACCATGTCTCAATCTGCATCACGTCTCAATCTGCATCACGTCTCAATCTGCTGCATGTCTCAATCTGCTGCATCATGTCTCAATCTGCTGCATGTCTCAATCTGCTGCTTCATGTCTCAATCTGCATCACGTCTCAATCTGCTGCATCATGTCTCAATCTGCATCATGTCTCAATCTGCTGCATCATGTCTCAATCTGCATCACGTCTCAATCTGCATCATGTCTCAATCTGCTGCATCATGTCTCAATCTGCATCATGTCTCAATCTGCATCATGTCTCAATCTGCTGCATCATGTCTCAATCTGCATCATGTCTCAATCTGCATCATGTCTCAATCTGCTGCATCATGTCTCAATCTGCTGCATCATGTCTCAATCTGCTGCATGTCTCAATCTGCTGCATCATGTCTCAATCTGCTGCATCATGTCTCAATCTGCTGCATCATGTCTCAATCTGCATCACGTCTCAATCTGCATCACGTCTCAATCTGCTGCATGTCTCAATCTGCTGCATCATGTCTCAATCTGCTGCATCATGTCTCAATCTGCTGCACCATGTCTCAATCTGCATCACGTCTCAATCTGCATCACGTCTCAATCTGCTGCATGTCTCAATCTGCATCACGTCTCAATCTGCTGCATCACGTCTCAATCTGCTGCATCACGTCTCAATCTGCTGCATCATGTCTCAATCTGCTGCATCACGTCTCAATCTGCTGCATCATGTCTCAATCTGCTGCATCACGTCTCAATCTGCTGCATCACGTCTCAATCTGCTGCATCACGTCTCAATCTGCTGCATCATGTCTCAATCTGCTGCATCATGTCTCAATCTGCATCATGTCTCAATCTGCTGCTTCGTGTCTCAATCTGCTGCATCGTGTCTCAATCTGCTGCATCACGTCTCAATCTGCTGCATCGTGTCTCAATCTGCTGCATCATGTCTCAATCTGCTGCATCACGTCTCAATCTGCTGCTTCACGTCTCAATCTGCTGCATCACGTCTCAATCTGCATCATGTCTCAATCTGCTGCATCATGTCTCAATCTGCTGCATCACGTCTCAATCTGCATCATGTCTCAATCTGCTGCATCATGTCTCAATCTGCTGCATCATGTCTCAATCTGCTGCATCACGTCTCAATCTGCTGCTTCACGTCTCAATCTGCTGCATCACGTCTCAATCTGCATCGTGTCTCAATCTGCTGCATCATGTCTCAATCTGCTGCATCACGTCTCAATCTGCATCGTGTCTCAATCTGCTGCATCATGTCTCAATCTGCTGCTTCACGTCTCAATCTGCTGCATCACGTCTCAATCTGCATCATGTCTCAATCTGCTGCATCATGTCTCAATCTGCTGCATCATGTCTCAATCTGCATCACGTCTCAATCTGCTGCTTCACGTCTCAATCTGCTGCATCACGTCTCAATCTGCATCGTGTCTCAATCTGCTGCATCACGTCTCAATCTGCTGCATCATGTCTCAATCTGCTGCATCGTGTCTCAATCTGCTGCATCATGTCTCAATCTGCTGCATCACGTCTCAATCTGCTGCATCGTGTCTCAATCTGCTGCATCATGTCTCAATCTGCTGCATCATGTCTCAATCTGCTGCATCACGTCTCAATCTGCTGCATCACGTCTCAATCTGCTGCATCATGTCTCAATCTGCTGCATCATGTCTCAATCTGCTGCATCATGTTTAGAGAGTCCTAAAGGATCTTGATCCTGATGGTTCTCTCCTGACTCTCTCCTCAGGACTCCAGGCTGAAGGAACTCCAACAGGTAAACAGAGAACAGAGAACCACTGAAGCAGAACCAGTTCTAGTCTCAACGCTTCTTCATCAAACTTCTTTTACAGATGAGTGTTGTTTCTGTTTAGAGGTGAAAGTAGTCCGGTATGGTCCGGTGCTCCGTACCAGTAAAAGATTCAGAGCTGGTTCACAGAACTGGGAAGAGAGGACAGCAGCTGTCCGTCAACACCAGTGGCGAGCCGTGAGCTTTATACCTAGGCCCTCTGACCCCCACCCCTTCCCTCGAAAAAACGACAAAAAAAGAGTTATTACGTCACAGCGTATACTTCAGCGGAATATCAAAACAACGGCCCAGGGTGCAAAACGCATCAATGACAGCGACCCTCTACCACACAAAACAACACCTGTGAACCCAATTTGTGTTCTTTGACATTGAAAATGATATTGCATTGTGTTTGTTACTTTCGTTGCAGTTGTATGTCTTAAGTGTAATTTGGCATGCTTTTATTTTGAAGGCGAGTTCACGCTGTTGACAGGAAGTTGTTGTTGCTATGGAAACAAGAAAAGTTTCACAGCGGGCGGAACTTGTCATAAAGTCCGCGATAATAAAACCCACCCATTTAGAGGGAAGATATGATTGGTCAATTGTACTGTCATTTGACATTACTCTCTCGTTCAGTTACTATAGCAACCCTCTGTGAATCGCAGAGAGGGCCAGACCAGCTTCTTTCATGTAACCCTTCACATTCAACAGGCAGATTCGAAGGATTTATTTCTTTGGAAATGTTATTTTAAATACAATTAAATCAAGTTTTTTTTCGGTAAAACTAATGAAAAATATAACAAAAATAATATTAAAAAAATATATATTTAAATTTTTTTTTTTTTTTTTTAATGTTTTTAAATATTATTTTTTGGAATATCTTAGGCCCTCACAGAGGGCCTAGAGGGCCCTGACGGCTCGCCACTGGTCAACACACACCAACCTGATCACATTCACACCAAGAACACACACCTGCTAACACTAGGGTTGCGGTCGAATAGTCCAAAAATCAGCTCCTAAGTTCTAACCCTATCGTCTATTCCTTGACCTCTGAGTGAAAGGTCACGGGGTTAAGGGATAGTGGATAGGAGAATTCAAAAGGACTTAGGAGAAGAGACTGCGGTACTTTAGAGAATCGACTGCACTTCCACTATCCGACGTGTTTATGATGCGCCAGCGGACGTCATGAATGTGCGCCTGCTGCTGTGGGGAAACTATGGAAACTACAGTTTTCTATACAGCGGACTACAACATGGATGTTTAATAAGAACGAGGGACTACTGTAAACTCATCTAGAGACTCTGCACCGTGCTCTGATGCTGTTATGCTTTATGAACGGGGGACAACAGAGAAACATATTCTTCATGACCAAAGTTGGAATTGAAATAAAAAAGGAAAGTGACACTTATGCTCGTCACCCTCTCCCTCCGGTCCACATTAATACAAATGATCCCAATACGTATGATTGTATGAAAAGATCTTAAAATCAATACAAATGTATTTATTATAAACGTTAGTCCTTAACATCTATCACTGTGTATATCACCATTCAAACATCTATTCAAAGTTGAACAAACCCCACACAGCTCAGTAAAGACTGTGAAATGTTGACTTTATTTGATCATTTCAGTAAAAACTAACGTTCATATTTCTCTTTTTGATTATAATACTGATGAACGTTCAAAACAAAGCACTTTGGCAACTTACCACATACGTTTTAAAAAGCTTAATAAGCACCGTAACTTTCATGATATCATTTCTCCGTCATAATCGGTTGTTTCCGTGAACGGCCGACTGTTGTGTGACGGCAAATGCTGCGGCTGCAAGGCATTGTGGGGCAGCATTTTCTCCTCTCCTTTCGGTTAGGGAGGTCCAGTGGTTCTTAAGCTAAAGGAGGTTATAAAGGAAGTTTGAAACCTCCTTTCCTTTTAATTTAGAGAATTGGAACGGCTCTTATCATGGCTGCCACTGAGGGACTTCCGGGTCATTTCACTCCGTTAGGAAGGTTCCTAAGCTAAATGGACTATTCAACTTCAACCCAGGTCCACAGAACCACAGTTTGACTGGGTTCACCATTAGTCAGCAATATAATCTACATCAGTGATGAGAGAGATGCTTCCCTTCTGTCAGACGCCCAGCAGGGGGTCTGTCTCGGCCTGTCCTCCTCCAGCATAAACCTTTATAAAGGTATAAAAAGGTTAAAAAGGATACAAAGCGTGTAGATAATGCTAATTGATATATTAACATTTCATTTAAAGATAATAAATTGTACTGCAGGAAATACAACTCTGAAACTGTAATGACTCGTTATTGTTGAGTTATAGTAATGCTAATGTTAGCCTTTAGCTTCAGAAAATGACAGTGTGAGATACTTAACTAAAGAATAACTTTGAAATAATTTGTCTTATTTTGAAAATATGAGGAACCGGGTAAGACTGAAATAACGAGACAAATATTGTATTTATTAAATATATTTATTTTAAATGTTATATTTGACTTTAAAGTTGGTCCAAAAGAATAAAGGACTGGAGTAAAATGTCTTTTCAGGAGACGCTCCAGAGATATTTGATATTTTTAAAGATGTTTTGAATCTGTTTCTACCACTGTATCACCACAAGTTTCAGCATTTTGGGAACGGAGACATTTCACAGGTGGGACAGAAAATGTCCTCCAATTCTTAAAGACCCATCAAAATGTTTCTGTAATAAGGTCTCATGTTGGTCCACAGGAAGGGGCGGGACTTCCCCTCTCTGTGAACTCTCTTCTTTTACTGATGACTCTCCTGTTTCTGTTCAGAGTCTATCAGGTTGATAGGATCCAGTCGCTGTGAGGGAGACCTGGTGGTGAGACATCATGGAGAATGGAGACCAGTGGTTGGTCGTAATATGGACTGGGACCTGAAGGAAGCAGCAGTTACCTGCAGAGATCTCGACTGTGGCTCTGTTGTTTCTGTAGAAGAGAGATCTGGGTCCTCAGGGAGACCTGTGTGGGGGATCGATCCTGACTGTGTTCATTCTGGACCTCTGAAGGACTGTGCAGAAGCATTTTCTTCTTCTCATTCCATCCTGAAGCTCATCTGCTCAGGTAAGCCCATCAGTCCCATCATTCATCACAGTCTGTCTCTCACCTGTCTGTCTCTAACTTGTCTCTCTCTCACCTGTCTCTCTCTCTCGCCTGCCTGCCTGTCTCTCACCTGTCTCTCACCTGTCTCTCTCTCACCTGTCTGTCTCTCACCTGTCTGTCTCTCACCTGAGATCATTAATGGCCAGATTGAAATCTCCTGTCGAAGTCATTTTGAGTCCCAAATATGTGTAGCTGTGTGTGTGTTCTATGTCAGTGGAGCCCAGTAAGAAGCGGTGTGGGTTCCCCTGACCCCTGGGTCGTTTCTGGAAGACCATAATCCTGGTCTTTTCCACATTAACTGTCAGGGCCCAGGTCTGACAGAAGGTCTCCAGATGAACTGTCAGGGCCCAGGTCTGACAGAAGGTCTCCAGATGAACTGTCAGGGCCCAGGTCTGACAGAAGGTCTCCAGATGAACTGCCAGGGCCCAGGTCTGACAGAAGGTCTCCAGATGAACTGCCAGGGCCCAGGTCTGACAGAAGGTCTCCAGATGAACTGTCAGGGCCCAGGTCTGACAGAAGGTCTCCAGATGAACTGTCAGGGCCCAGGTCTGACAGAAGGTCTCCAGATGAACTGTCAGGGCCCAGGTCTGACAGAAGGTCTCCAGATTAACTGTCAGGGCCCAGGTCTGACAGAAGCTTTGCAGATGATCCATTTGCTGTTGTAATGCCTCCTTAGATGGAGCTAGCAATATTAGATCATCTGCAAACAGGAGGCATTTAATTTGTGTATCAGAGAGGGTGAGTCCAGGGATATCGGATTGTTCTAATGATTTAGCCAATTGATCAATATAAATGTTAAATAGGGTGGGGCTGAGACTGCAGCCCTGTTTCACCCCTCTACTTTGGGGGAAGACATCTGTTTCCATATTGACCATTTTCACAGCACATTTATTATTTGTATACATTGTTTTAATGATATCATATGTTTTCCCCCCTACACCGTTTTCAATCAACTTCAGAAACAGACCGTTATGCCAAATTGAGTCGAATGCTTTTTTGAAATCTACAAAACAAGAGAAAATCTTCTTATTTTGGTGGACATGTTTATGAATGAGGGTGTGGAGGGTATATATATGGTCTGTAGTCCGATGTTGTAAATCCAATCTGACTCTTGCTCAGGACATTATGTTCACTGAGGAAGTCTTGCAGTCGGCTGTTTAGGATGCTGCAGAATAACTTCCCCAGGTTGTTGCTGACACATATGCCTCGGTAATTGTTTGGGTCAAATTTAGTTCTATTTTTAAATATTGGTGTGGTGATTCCTTTGCTCCAGATGTCAGGGAAATGTCCAATGCTCAGAACGACGTTGAATAGTTTCAACATGGCAGTGTTGAACCATAGACTATATATATAAATGGACGTAGTGTCCGTGACGTCACCCATAGGATTCTGCAGAGTTGCCTAGAAGCCCTTAGTAGGCGGAGTCGGCCACTAACGGCTCGACAGTGACGTCAGAGTCTAACTCCCGCCTGCTCCAGCCTGATCCAAATAAGGGCAAAGAGGCGGAGGCGGGACCTGCTGCCACCGACCTGGAAGTTCCAGAGCTTGCTCAGGCTAAGAAGCTAAGCTAAAGGAAACCTTCATACAAAAACACATGAAAAGTTATATGTTAGGTGTGTAGGGTTACAGACTGCTTAACAAGCAAAACATAGAACTTAAATTAGTGATGCAATGCTGAAATGTAAAAATGTGACAGTCAAAAAGCTTAGGTGTTTTAATGCCATATTCACTTAATAACGCATGAACAACTTTTACAAATATTTCTATATAGTCTGTGTTGGTAAATGTCATCTACGTTGCACATTTCCTGCTGAAATACATGCATACCAAGTTACTGCGTGGCACTTTGGTTTTGATAAAACAGTGTAGTTCCACTATATAAACGTTACATTCATAATCAAACGAGACAATCTGCAGGAGAATGAGCTATTTTTGTTATTCTTAATGCCTGTCATTCACACGTTAATAAAATTAAATAAGTAGGCTACCGATACATAGCAGAACAATTGTGGCGATGTTCAGCTTAATAAGCCTTGTTCAACATAATTTCTTTAGCTAATACTACAGAGGGCTGCAGGTGAACCAAGTCCGCGTTTCGCTGCATTCCTTGATCTCCAGTTATAACGCCGGACTAGCCCCCTGCGGCTCCGTTAGCTCCGGCGGCGGACTCCGGCGGCCACCACTGGGATAATTGGGTCCCCTTTTAACATTTGCTCCCGTTTAACATTATGGCGTCATAGCCATAGACTATAAAAGTCTTACCCAAGGCTGAATCATAAACTAAACTGTGTATATATATATATCAAGTACAGTAACTACAACTAGCTAAGGTTGTAGCCTAGCAGAGTGGACAAGTTGCTGTTAGCTGACAGTGAGGCACGTACCTGTCCATCAAAGTGACCACGCCCTCATTTATGCAAAAACGTTAAGACCTGATATAAATAAAAGGGTCGTGTTAGAAAACAATTCACTCACCAATTCATAAGCATGAAGGTGGAATCTAACTATATCCCGAATAATTTGTATTGCATCCAGGGGCAGAAACATGTTTATTTCTGCTGTAAAGTTGGGCATTTTAACATGGGGGTCTATGGAAATGGATCCTTTCTGCAGTCATCGCCTATCGGCCAATAGATGACCTGCAGTTTGTGGCACTTCCTTATTGGCCTCCCGGCTCTGCCCCAGAGTTTGCCGCTTGTGTTGAACTTATGGCTGCTAAATTTCAGCATTTCATTTAAAATGCCATCAGGACCACTGGCCTTCCTTGGTTGTAGGGCCTGTGTTTTAGCCAGGAGCTCTTCCTCAGTAATTGTATTGTCTTTATTAGGATCCCCATTAGCACTAGCATGAGCATTGGCTATTCTTCCTGGGGTCCTCACACACGCAAAACATACATAAATATACATGCAACAAAATTAAAACAAAACAAAACAGCTCATAATTTCATGCAATTTACAGTGCTGTATGAAGTGAAAACTAAAATGGTCAAAAGGCCAAACAAAAGTAAATACAAATAAGAGTACATAATACTATATGCATACATAGCCACAGACACAGTTCAAATTTACTTTACAATACTGTGTGGCCATAGCTCTTCCGGATTGGTCCATTTTGTTCCGGGTACGGCATGACATCATGCCGTACCCGGAACGAAATGGAAGAATCAAATGGACAATGACGTATCTCCAATGAGGCGTTTTGGGGAGGTATTTTCTGTGTTAGAGTTTTACTCGCTACAGGGTGTACTCTGAGGGTTTGTGACTCTGCACACCGTTTACATGCATAAAAACCTTCATAACACACAAGGGGACGGGTAATAACCGGAAAAGCATGACATGGGCCCTATAACCTGTTAAGCCAGAGAGACCCCAGTACCGGGGCACTGCCGCAACATCTTGCAGGAAACAATGTCTGAGGGCATGTTCATTTAATAAACTATGAATGTTTTATATGCATGTAACGGGAAGAAACTCATCTAACTGATCTTTTTTTTTTTTTTTTAAAGAAAACCCACAATGCTAACACTGAGCCTCTGAATTAGCAACGAGCGAAAAATGCTAACACCTTACTGCACCGAAAATAACTCACAAAACCTTATTATTTATCTCTTCTCTACATCCATGACATCGTTTCACATCGTGAGGTGACACAGAATCGATGGGTACCCTCATTATCACTGAATTATACGTATTTGCGACGTTATAAACAAAAACGGACATCAAAACAGGTGACGCTAGGTAGCTAAAAATGCTAACATTTTTACCTTGGCTCTGTAGTCTCTCCAAAGTGGTCTTCAATGGCATTAAAACGATAAAAACGCTGAAGTTAATCCATAGGTTAATCCAATGTGTCTGTGTCCCTTTGAAATGATTTATGATAATCCATGAGCAATAAAACTGCTTTTCCGTTTCCAGATGTCAAAGCTAGAGATAGGTTCACTCTGATTGAAAATTACATGCGCGAAGCCCCCACCTTTTCTCTTCACAACGTGTGTGTGTGGGGGACTCCCCCTTCGATTCTATTGGCTCTAACGGTCAGAAAGAGGTGTCAACCATCAAAATCGACCAAGGGGGGCCAGAGATATGGAAAATCCACCCAAATGACCCCAGAAGTGGTTTATTTTTGCTAAATCTCTCTAGAAAGGTAAAATGTCACTTGTTTTGCATCAATCTTGATACAGGGTACTTATTATATGTTGTACTTTGGATTCCTAAAGCTTTTAGTCTACTAACCCATCATCCAAGGGTAGTTTTCACTGTAAGTAAAAAAGAATCTTTGGACGGACACTATAATTTACAGTTTTTTACTATGTAAAATCTGAATTTTCTTTAAAATAAAAAACATCTATATTGATTATGACTTTTCTACATCCAACTCACAGGTTTATCATTACTTTGAGAACAAAGATTATTAATTTAACCCTTTTAGAAGGGAAGATATGGTCATTTGTTCTGGGAATGGCATTTTCGAGCCTGAGACCTGAAAAACAGGCTCAGGGCTCAACAGGTTAAATTATTTTTTAGCGACCTTTTAAATGTACTTGAAAATGTTCCTGAATGTATTGTCTAAAGGGTTCTGGTTGTCTTTAACGACTGATTCTAGAATGTGTAGTTTGTTGAGGAGATCATTTTGGGCCGAATTCAGTGTAACGCTACTATACAGGTTTTCAAAGTGTGTTTTCCAAATGTCCCCATTTTGAATAGCCAGTTCTTCCTTGTGTGGTTTGCTGAAAGAGTGCCATTTCTTCCAGAAATGATTTGAGTCAATGGACTCTTCAATGATTTCAAGTTGGTGCTGTGCATGTTGCTCCCTTTTAGTTCTGAGTGTTCTTCTGTATAATTTCAGTGTTTCCCAATATTGGAGGCGGAGCTCAGGATGGTCAGGTTGTCTGTGTTTTTGATTTGATAAACTTCTGAGGGTTTTTCTCAGATGTCTGCAGTCTGCATCAAACCACTTTTCAT